CGGATATTAAAACCAGGTTTTTAGCGTCATAAGCCCAGAGACTTACCACTGAGCCACAAGTGGGCAAACGAGGTGTTGTTTTAATATGTTCACAAAAGGTAAAAAAATAATTCTTATTTTGTCAAAAATCGCCTCTCTCTCTCTCTCTTTTAAAGATTAATTTTCCCAATTCGTAACTAGTTTTTAGGGTTATAAACCCTCAGACTTACCGCTGAGCCACTAGAGGGCTCTCTCCTAAAAATACAAATAGATCATAATTTATGTAATTGAAAAAAGTAATTTTTTATTTTATTTTCATTACAACTACTAACATTTATTTCGAAACCTGTGGTCAGCTATACCGTTTATGTTACTCGTCAAAATTATTATTGTCTAAAGCGAGAGACCACGCGACAATGAATTAAATGCTAAATATTCTGTTTGAAAATTTAGGTCGTGGGATAAAACATAACTAAGTGTAACGTTATTCTTAAGGATAAAAAAAAAATCTTCCAAATGACCTAATATTTCAGAAAGCACTTACGTAATCTACGTTCAAATGTTTCTAACGATTCTGAGTAAAGATTTCATTCTTGTTGAGGATTAGGTTTAGTTATATACATTTACAAGCCTGTCACGTGACTAAATACTAAGGGGGATCATATAAGAAACAACAACAAAAAAAACAAATATACTCATTCATGCCCCTCAGTGGCACAGTGGTATGTCTGCGGACTTACAACGCTAGAATCCGGGTTTCGATACCCGTGGTGGGCGGATCCCAGATAGCCCGTTGTGTAGCTTTGTGCTTAATTACAAACAAACAATACTCATTCATTACATTTAGTTAGGGATTTTCAAATTGAATTTTAAATGCTAGTTTCAAAGCTAGACTTTCGGTAGTAGCCATTCAATTTTTAACTATACGTCATTAGAATTCGATGACGAGGAACCCACTTTGAGACTAATAATGGCTGGAGACGGCTTGAATGGGTAATGAAGAAAAACTTTAATACAACAGCAAATGTACAACGTTTCGACAACGTTTCCAGCCATTATTATACGTCATTAGCTTATTACAAAAGAAAAATTGGCCACATTCTGATCAATAAAGCGGCGATGTTAATTTCTTCAAGTTAGTCCTAGTAACAACAAAGCACAATTAACGTCTATTAAACGTTACTGAGTAAGAGAAGGCAACAGCCTTGAATTAGCATTATACGTTGTCTTAGCAACTGAAGTGGACAAGAACAAACGACGTAAATCTGTTGCTTAGCAACATTGTGCTCCTCTACACTTTAAATGTATATATATATATATACACACACACACTTATTATATTTTATACATACAGCCAGCTGTGCACGAACTAGTTTAAATCCAAAATTACTCACGTATCGAGCCCCCCCCCCCAGTGGCACAGCGGCATGTCTGCGGACTTATACCGCTAGAAACCGGGTTTCGATACCCGTGGTGGGCGGAGCACAGATAGCGCTTTGTGTAGCTTTGCGATTAATAATAAACAACAAACAACAACACACGTATCGAAGATGGACATTGTATACAAAACCGTCTAATTTTTTTTTGGGGGGGGGTACAAAATCCTTATTATTGATCCGGGTCGATAGCTAACGACGTTGCTTTAGGGTGTTAATGTTCACGTCCACAAAGCTATTCTCAAGAGCATGTTTAGCGAACTCAAATTTAGGAACTGAGTTATTATTAAAGAAAGGATATCATTCTTCAGTCATGAATGAGATCCATTCAAGATTCCAGATGGCAGTTCTGAAGAATACGTGTTGAGTATGAACATTATTAATACGTATAACTCAGATCGTCAGACAAGTAAGTACACCGACAGGGGTTAACCTAAGATGTACCTGAAACAAATGTTTAGTTGTGAACCCCCTCCCCCCCAAAAAAAAACCCTGGTTGGTATAGAAAGACTATAGATTAAACCATCTGAATACATTACAAACTACGGCCAGGAGGGTTAGGGCGCTTGATTCGCAATCTGAGGGTCTTGGGTTCGAATCCCCGTCACACCAAACGCTCTCGCGTTATAATGTGACGTTGGTAAGAGAGTAGCCCAAGAGTTGGCGGTGGGTGGTGATGACTAGCTGTCTTCCCCTCTAGTCTTTCACTCCTAAATTAAGGATGGTTAGCGCAGAGAGCCCTCGTGCAGCTTTGCGCGAAATTCAAACAATCTTGATTATTGTCCTCTTATAATTTACACCACTCTAAGCTTGAAATGATGTAAGATTAGCAAACTCAAAGCTAACAGTACTCGTGCATTATATCTTGACACATATTATTGTAATGTTACACATTGTAGTATCTCCATTAGACTTCCATTGTTGTACTAAAAGAACTTCTGTCAAGTGACAAAGATCGTAGATGTTAAGATTTATCAAGTGTTTGAGGTACTTAACCTCAAAACCGCCATAGCAAATACATTAATCACACTATTCAAAGCAATTTAACACATTTTAACAGTAGCAAGACTATTATTAGTCTCGTTTAACCATTAACTGTTCTGTGTTTTAAGGTTGTTTTTTATATTGAGTCACTTGTACTTATAAGGAGATGTAACAGGGCCTGTTACATCTCCTTATAAGTACAAGTGGCTCAATATATTCCTGTTACATCTCCTTATAAGTACAAGTGGCTCAATATATTCCTGTTACATCTCCTTATAAGTACAAGTGGCTCAATATATTCCTGTTAATATATTGAGTCACTTGTACTTATAAGGAGATGTAACAGGAATATATATTGAGAAGTGACTCAATATATATTCCTGTTACATCTCCTTATAAGTACAAGTGGCTCAATATATATTCCTGTTACATCTCCTTATAAGTACAAGTGACTCAATATATATTCCTGTTACATCTCCTTATAAGTACAAGTGACTCAATATATTCCTGTTACATTTCTTATAAGTACAAGTGACTCAATATATATTCCTGTTACATCTCCTTATAAGTACAAGTGACTCAATATATGTCCCTGTTACATCTTCTTATAAGTACAAGTGGCTACTTATAAGGAGATGTAACAGGAATATATATATTGAGTCACTTGTACTTATAAGGAGATGTAACAGGAATATATATTGAGTCACTTGTACTTATAAGGAGATGTAACAGGGATATATATTGAGTCACTTGTACTTATAAGGAGATGTAAACAGGAATATATATTGATCACTTGTACTTATAAGAAGATGTAACAGGGACATATATTGAGTCACTTGTACTTATAAGAAGATGTAACAGGGACATATATTGAGTCACTTGTACTTATAAGGAGATGTAACAGGGACATATATTGAGTCACTTGTACTTATAAGGAGATGTAACAGGAATATATTGAGTCACTTGTACTTATAAGGAGATGTAACAGGGATATATATTGAGTCACTTGTACTTATAAGGAGATGTAACAGGGAATATATTGAGTCACTTGTACTTATAAAGACCACACATTTCTGTCCTACCAGTCTTCCATTTTTTCAGATCATTTCGCTTCATTGACTTTATATTAGTGAATTATTCCTTCAGAAACCGTTCCTCGTCGATTTCACGAAGAATCACTGGGGAGGGGGGTACTAGCATGCTCCTCTGGTATTTCTTTTCAACAGAACCGGAACGCGTTGGTAGTAAGATAAATCAGAACATCGACGCGATTATAGCGGATACTTACTTAATATCCGTATTGCTTGAAACTTATCTCAGAAAAAAAAAGGGTTTTCTATGAATCTGAAATTTTTTCTGAGCTGGACAATCTGATGATAAGGTAGTATCGGTGACTATTAAATTAAGACTACATTTTTATTAGTTCGTTTCCAAGGGCATTCCTTTAGAAAAAAAAATGTACAGTTGTTAGTGGCCATCTCTATTACGGATGCATTATTTAACTTAGGCCTTGCAATTTTGAATAACTAAATTAAATGCCCAAAACTCTAAGAAACGGTCATCTAACAGTCCCACTATCTTCCAGCCTCCGAGTAGTTAAGCGATAAATTTACAAAGCTAAAATCCAGGGTTCGATTCTCTAAGGAGGGCAGATGGCCTACAGCGTGGAGTTGCGCTAAAACAACGATATAACCTTCCAGGTATGATAAAATAATTATTAATTTTAAAACAAAGCCCTGTCATCTGATTCACGGTGCGTCAGGTTTCAGCAACAACTTGAATTATTTTTATTTTGTTACAAAACTTAGAATACAGCCACAACTCTCGAAGTTGACTCTTTTAAATCAGATCTGAAACAGCACCAAAAAAAAAAAAGCAATGTTGCTCATTGATATCTGACCTTTGTAAGCACATTGAAACAAATAAATTAAACGTAGTATAAAACTTATTTTTGTCTGTGTTTTTGAAAGCGACAAGAAGAAATGATATTGGATAGCGAGGACGAAAAAAACAACAAAAAACCAGCTTTATCTGGCTTTCCACACGAGATCTTAGCCAACACGAGCGTTTCAGCAGGCAGTTTAACATAAGTACAGATTTATTCCATTATTGATACAATATGTAGAAATGTGTGTTCGTACTTTAAAAACCCTTAAGAGAATTTCCGTGAAAGATTAGGACTATACCTTTTTCCTAATACAGACAGAGGTTGATCTCCCAATGAAATACTGAAAATAATTTTATGATATCAACACTAAAGCGACAAAACAAGCTTTTAAAGCCAACTAGACGTTTAAACATCCGATTTAACACAAAGTTAACTTGAAAGAAAACGATTCTTTTTGTCCCTTATAGTGTCCCATGTTTAACTAGTAGCCACAAAGAAGAAAAAGGTCACCAAGCACGAATATGTCTTACAGTATTCTCTTGTTTATGTATTGAAGATATCTCTTTTATCGGTAATATTATTAGTATTATTTTCTATTTTAGAACAGGCATAAAAAAAAGTTGGCACGCCACCTAGTGTGAAAAATTCACATTTAGCTATCTGATATTTAATATGTGTAGTAGAAACGCTCTTGTTATCTTTTCTGGCACCAGGTTTTACGCGGAGGACTTGAAGACTTTCCAAGATGGATATAAAGAACCAACAAAGCCGATTCGCTGTACATCTCATCTTCAGAATTACCTATTCTTGTGGAAAGGCAAACATAGTGGAACTATATATTAAAAGGTAGGTACGAAACAAACGTTTTCAAGGCTGCTTCTACTAAAGTTTCTGGCTAATTCCAAAGGAATATATTATTTTGTATTTACATATTCTAAAATATATCTTAAACCCATAATTTACAGTTAAGTTTTTAGTGAAAGGCTACACAACAGAAAAACCTGCAATCTATCCACCGCCAGGAATCTAACCCCGGATTTTTGTATTGGAAGTCCGTAGACTTACCGCTGACCTACTGAAGTCGTTGAAGTTACAAGAATATTTCAATCAGTTATTCAATAGTGTGGTAAGACTATGTTATTACAATATATATATACACAGAGATACTGTGTTATGTGTTATACTGTGTTATGTATATATACTGTGTTATGTGTTGGTTCTCGTTACATCGTGTTAAGTATTAGTTCTAGCTACACTGTGTTATGTGTTGGTTCTAGTTTCACTGTGTTGAGTATTGTTTCTCGTTACAAAAAATCCTAACTTTCATACCATTGATTTATGCCAGCATATTATTACAGTATTCACTATTATGTCACCCAAAGTTACCATCACACAGCGCATGTCACGTTTTAACTATATACATATTGAGTTCTTAAAGTTTATATAAAAAAGGATATTATGAGCTGAGTATTGAAAGCGGGTAACAGAAAACACCCCTACTTTCACCATTACCCCTTCCTACAAGTCACCCCTACAGTGTTTCACGTGATTAATCAATTGCGGTCATTGGCCGCAGAAGTGTCTAACGGTCCGAAGTTGAAAGGTCACTGGGTAAAGTAGGAAGTAGGTAATTTTTAAAATTTTTACAAGAAAGGAAAAGTGTTATACAAGAGGATAGCGTTAAAATCTGTGCCGACAGTCTGTCATCAGGAGAAGGAGGATGGATCCCTCGCTGCAGTTGGTAGGACTGCATTTTAGATATTAAATATTAATCCCATATGCGGGTTTCAAGAAACATACTTTACTGTTAAGCAGTGTTGTTCGTGTAAATCATATTTTGTTAAATAAGTTAGAGACTTTTTTCATCTTATGAGTGTTTATTATATATATATATATATAGCGAAGAGAAATGTAAAAATGAAATTTGAAATTTAAAATGAACGGCTATTTGTTATACGAAAGGGTTTTGTAGTTTTTTTAGTGGCGTCATCTATTGAAGACATAACGTACCATAATATTATATAAAAGGCAGTCGCTGTAAATTTTATGAAGGGTAATTGCCAAGACATTTCCTATTTATCCAAGCGTAAATAAATTCATACAAGAGTAATATAGGTTTAATTTGATAGTATTTAATGATCTTTAATTAACAGCGTGAATTAAAAACTTTACATTTGTTGCTGAAATTAAACCATCTTTACGAGAGAATTGTGTCAAAGAAATGCTAGATATTTGAACACAAGATGACTACAAATTTGGCCACAAGATGACAAGCTGTTAATGAGATTCCAGGCCAAACTCACGCTTTGAAAACACGACAATTTAAATATTTCTACCTAATAAAAGAAACATGCTATTCAGTGCATGAACCATCTTATAATTTTAATTACGCTTTTCTTTTTCCGGCCACAGCTGCGGCTGGGAGAGGATTAAACTATAAATTAAGACAATAATGGTACAATTAAAATATTAAGTAGCATTTTTCTCATAAAACTTTTTATAAAACAAAAATCGATATTTTTTTAAAAATTATTAATAGAATTTCACACTTCACAAAAATGTCGCCTTTTCGTTAATTTTCCGGTACTTACTAAAATAAATATAGATATAAAAAATAATTAAATTTTAACCCGCTAGGACTCCCGTTTCCGTTGACCAATAATTGTTATTTTCATCATTAATGTTACACTTCGCCTTCCCTTTTATTTTTAAATACACCAGACTTTATTTGTGTTGAATGTTGTACTTATATTCCTATCATGAACTGATCAACGTAAACATAACAACATTTTAACCATACTACACTATGTCGGCCATATCCGTTGCCATATTCATCCTTGGACAGTATAGAAAAGGCGTTAACACCTTAACAACTTTTGCTGTAACAAATAGCTTATATAAGTAACGTTCTAACCCCTATTGTGTTTCAACCGGCCTGATGAACTTTGTATTAAGCAAAACTCGTCGTTGGCGATGGACATGACGGACATAGTGTGGTTGAAATACTATAACATAATTGGCCTAATTATGACAGTTATAATTAATTAAGTAACTATATCTTTATTTGAAGTACTGTATGGTGTACTAATCTCTACAGTTTTATTAAAGATGAGGATCAGTAGACAAACGAGCATTTTTTGAGATTTTAAGTTAACATTAAATATACAACCATATTATAATTACGGTTAGTTTAATTTTAATAAATTATTAATCGCGCAGTTCCATCAGACATTAATTAAATTTATTTGCTGACTGTACTTCCGACCGAAAGTGATATCTTTTTACTTATTTATTCTGTTTTTTTTCTTTAAGATTGGATCCACTAAACCCTGATTACACAGACCTGCCATGGTTTTATTGTATTGAATTTTTTACATGACGTACAGTTATTCCCGTACGCTGAATCCGAAAATGATATACATTTTTCTCCATCACGTACAGATTTTTCACAAAACGTCATAACGCAATACATAAAAGAAAGTTTGTCTGTTTGTTTTGTAATTAAGCACAAAGATACACAATGGGGTGTCTGTGCTCTGCCCACCACGGGTATCGAAACCCGGATTCTAGCCATAAAAGAAAGACCACAACACGTAGTTTTGAGACTAAAAGACGTAAATTCCACAAACAAAATCAGGATGAATGAGGATGTATATTCGTTTGACATCAATGTTCTTCCCTTTTATTCAGTTTGTTTGTACTTTTTTTTAACAAACGTGATAATAAATAATGTTCACTGTGGTAAATAAAACAATAATTTGATCTAAGTAACGGTTTTTACGTGATAGAAAAAAAAATAATATTATTTTCGAAATCTACGTAGCTGAATTATGGAGTATTAAAACCAAAACAACTTTTATGAAGTTTAAATTCGCAGAACTGTGTTAACATTTCCGTTTAAGTCTCATTCTCATTGGACTTGTTAAATAGACCCATTTTTTTGATTTTCAATTTTGAGAAGTGCAGATTAGAAGGATGCATTTATGGAAGTATCTGACAGAATCGGATAATGCGTTCGAAAGATGTAGTGACTCCTTTTTTTTTTTCTGTATTGACAATCCCGCATTTCCTGGTTAAGCACAGATTTATCACAATCTTTACAGAATTATTTATAGTACGTAGTCTTTTGTGAATAGAAAACCATTTTTTTTTACAGCAAGAGGAAACATTGATTGATGTGATTTTTTTTTCAACTTTTTCAGCTCGACATGATTAACTGACCGAAGATCTTGTCATGGAGGACTGGATTTTGATCTTGAACAGCTCTCGAACCTTTAATCACACCTCACCTCAGGACAGGTCAAGAAGTGTACCCGATCTCACTTACAAGTGTTTGGTTGGCGCTTTTCTAGGGTTCATAATTTTTTTCTCTGTCGCTGGTAATTTACTGGTTTGTTTGGCCATTTACAGAGATCGGAGGTTACGTAAACTAGGGAACCTTTTCCTTGTCTCTCTGGCAGTGTCTGACCTCTTTGTTTCTTCATTGGTCATGACCTTTGCGGTTGTTAATGATTTGATGGGTTACTGGATGTTCGGTCCACAGTTCTGCGACACGTGGGTCGCTTTTGATGTCATGTGTTGTACAGCTTCCATCCTGAACTTATGTTCTGTTAGTTTCGATAGGTTCGTACACATTAAGGATCCCTTACGCTACAACTGTTGGATGACAAAGCGAGTGGTTCTTGGTTCGATTTGCTTAATCTGGCTCCTCTCTGCTCTAGTATCTTTTCTCCCAATTAGCCTCGGATGGCATAAGCCTAAAAACTCGGTCTTCGCAGGTAGTTTGGAGAAAGAACGCCCAACTTGCGCTTTGGAGTTGACGCCTGTCTACGCCGTCGTATCTTCGTCGATTAGCTTCTTCGCACCTTGCGTTGTTATGATTGCTCTGTACGCAAGGCTTTACCTGTACGCTAGAAAACACGTGAAAAATATTCGCGCCACTGAACCTGTTTGCGACGTAAGGTCCTCTAACTCCCATCACTCATCTCACGTCAGAGAACACAAAGCCTCCATTACTCTAGGGATTATCGTGGGTGTGTTTCTCGTCTGTTGGGTACCGTTTTTTTCTGTAAACATAGTCGCTGCTTTTTGTAAATCGTGTATCTCGGACTTGGTATGGAAGTGTCTGACGTGGCTCGGTTACTTTAACTCCACTTTGAATCCTGTAATTTACAGTATTTTCAACGCAGAATTCAGGGATGCGTTTCGAAAGATCCTCTTCTCTAAGTCGCCCGAAACGTCTTGCACTTTCTGGACGTGCTGTAGGGGCTGCCAACTGACTTCGCCTCAGCCAAGGGTGTCTCGATACGACAGAAAGCTAACAGCTCTACACAAAGACCACTACCATTTCGACCTCGATGACCAGGGAAAAATGAGCCAGGTGTAAATGGACGAACAAAGTTAGGATAAGGGGATAATCTATAGATATTAATTCATACACTTGTCCATTTTCTCTTACAATCCCCTAAACGAAGTGAATGTAAAATGTATATAAGTGCGAATCTTCGTCTCGTATTTTAAGGTGACGTAATAAATTATAAATCCTGTATAAAGATGTATACTGTAAAAAAAAGAAAAAAGATTCCAGATGGCGCTCCTCCATGTCTGAAGTGTGTAACGTCATATAAGTTATCAAATATGTGTGTGCGTGTGTGTGTATTTTGTTCTTTTAAATAAAATGTTCAAAGCGTTCACGTTACCATAAGGAAAATGAAATATTATAATTTAATATTTATATTATTTATAATGCCTGTATGATCGTTGCATCCGTAAAAAAGGACGAGGCAGATTTTAAGTCAGAATCTGAATTAATAATTATTAATATCAATTTCTGAATCGGAGGAAGTAACCTACTTAGATCGAAACTAAAAATCAACCTGGCCAATTGCATTTTTTTCATCAGTTAGGTACCATCGGTGTTAACGACATTTTAGGCCCGTAAAAGTCGGCAGTGAAAGAAGAAACGATAATCTTTTTTTTTTATTTATTTATAACGCAAGAAAAACTGTTTGTTTTTAAAAGGAAAGCCACATTGGCCTATATACAGTGTTATAAACAACAACAAGAAAAACAAACTTGTGTTTTACATAAACGACGTGAGCACTTCGCCCTGCAAGCCGATTTCTATGTTTATGACGCCATAACATTCAGTGTTATTACACACGATTCAAGAAACTCTGGATTAACGATAACTTATAATATTAGCTCTGCACAGAGAAATCTCCAAAGAATTCAGATAAAACACGTCAACTGTTTGGTTGTTTGAATTTGTTTTGTTTTGGAATTTCGCGCAAAGCTACACGAGGGCTATCTGCGCTAGCCGTCCCTAATTTA